TTATATCTAAGAAAGAATGTCTCCAATCTTTCCTTTCAACACTTCTTAATTGATGTGTGAATCAATGATTCTGCCTTTCCGCCTTTGAATAAGGAAAACTAGAAGTCATGATGGCGCCTCCTGTGGAGAAATGGCCGCACAGCATCTGGTCCAGCAGCAGCTCTGTCTCCAAACTAACAGCTGATCTCAGACTCTTCTCTTCTGTGAACATCCGGTGAGTCCAACAGTCACTTCACCTCTTGTACTTCCAGACATTTGTTAGAGAAGATGTTTCACTAGTGGAGGAAAAGCTTGTTTTGTATCTTAAGCGGGTTCAATCTGCTCAAAGTCGTTTTACATTGAAGTAACATGTAGTAAATATTGTGTGACTAGGCCGACATCCTGTCACTACAGAGAATTTTAAACTCAGTGAAGATTTAAAGCTCAATGAGGATTGAACAACCATTGTACATGAGGGGGACTCTGGTATTTTACATAAACTATTATTTCACTTTATTTTATTCATTCATTCATTTTATTGATGCATTCAGGTGTAAATTCTGGAAGTAAATCAGGAATTCACTTTTGGAGGGAAACTGCAAAGGCCTCACCTCAAGGCCTCACCTGCATCTCATCTCGGCAGCTTTTGGCAAAATGAACTAAGTTTGAATCTTTTAACTGAGGAGGCACAAACTGGCAAATCAGAATGTTCAACTTCTTTCACTGACTTCACTCAGATGTTTGACTTTAATGTGAGTTTTAAGTCAGGCAGGGCTCCCGCGCGTGGCAGTACATCGGCCGGTCAGGCAGGCCTCCCATAATTATTATAATTATAAGATGCTAAATTTATTTTTTCATCAGAGTGGCGGAAATGAGCTTCCATAAAAATGTGCCCAAAGACTAAATAAATATAGCAAAACTCACTTTTCACACATTTGGACGATTGTTTGTATTATCTAAAAACTTAAACCAAAGTAGATAGTACGTCATAACAATGAGATACAAAGTATATAGTTATATATAACTCATGTTAGGAAGTATATTGGAAATATATCATGGCATGCACTGCAAATTTTTTAATGCAACAGCTCTTCTGCTGTTGATTTCCATGATGCATTTTTCATTGTCTTTGAGCCTTTGAATATTTAAAAAGTATATTATATAAATATTTTGAATATTATTTAGTGATTGGATTAACTGTTCAAAAACCAATAACAATAATAAATAAATAAACAATAATACATTTTATTTATATAAAATGCAGCTCAAAGTGCTTTACATACAATATAGATTAGAAAAAATAAAAACACGTTAAATAAAAACATTTACAATAATAAATACATGTAATCCGAATCAAATAACAGATTTTAAGTAAAATAAGTACATGTTAAAATTATATTTAAAAGAAAAGGAAATTAAAAAGAAATTTAGAAAATATGCATAAAAACAGAGAAGAAAGTGATAAAAATTATAAAAGTGCCGTAGTGAGGGGAAGTGCAAGATCTAGTTAAAGACTGATCATAAATGTTGTAAGTGGTTTTAAAGCTTAGTTGTATTCTGTGGAATCTCAGGAAAACACCGTTAGAAGCTCTGACCCTGCAGATGACACACTGCTGCAGTTTTCTCTTCATCCAACAGATGGCACAACAACACCATGAGCACATGTCACCTCTGCACTGAGCTGGTTTCAGTCTTATTTCAGTCGCTTCATCCTTTTTAGCATCACCCACATACAAATCAAGCTGTGTTGCCTTCAGTGTCCTGACCTTACTGAGTAAAAAAGACGTTTAAACAGGCAGGTCAGCCAGTTAAACATATAAGATGAAAGATAATAGTGAGAGGGAAAGTCTTCACTGAGTGAGTCAGCACTCTAAATGTAAATCTTCTAAGATCAGGCAGCAGCGGTGGCTATACTTGGTTTTACTTACACTGAAGTTAAATGTGTGACCAGAGGGCTGTAGTATGAAATAATAATCATTTGTGTGTATAATATGTTAAAATGGCCTTTAAAGCCACATGTGTGCTTCATTTCTCACGGCAAAGAAGAGACAAATAATCAGTAATTAGTAGTAATGGCTTGTAATTATTCATATTGCTGACATGGCTATAAAATTGCCCTTTTTGGTTATAGGTACAAACAGTTTGTACCTCCAGGCTGTGATGACGTTTGAAAATGTGCTGATACAAACAGTATCAACGATCCCAAAAGGAAAACTTGACCTTGTGACCTGAAAATAATGAACCTCAGCTTCATTATTTCGTTTTTCTTTGTTTTTACGTGAAATTTGATTCATGATGTTCCGCTTCATGATGGATTGCCTTGTTTGCTTGCGAGACTGTTGTTTTGTCACATGATTGATTTGATAAATGAGGACCTTAATTGCCTGCTGCTCCTTTATTTTAAATTAGAGGGAGTACGACCAAAGCCTTGGATTGTACAGTTAAATCCTCTGAATCGTGACGGTATTAAACCAGGATACAACCGAAAAACAGAGGAGACGGATGAAATGGAACAGTACAGCCCTGTAACCATGTGTTCATGGTCTGGTTGACAGAGTACTCTGCCTGAACTCACTCAGCACATGTTCATTAATCTGGTGCACATCAGAGCACCCACGATACAATTAGTCAATGGCTGGAATCACTCGCTATTGTCAGTAACCAATTTTCTATTCCCCCTGAATCATTAATCTTTTATAAATCCAATCCTCTATCAGAACTGATGTCCTACCCAGCGTGATTTACACACTGTCGTTTACATGCACGACTCGTGAATCACGTCTGGCTCAGTGTCATGGATTCAGAATCACTGCTTCTGATAGATGGCCTCCACACTGATGGAGCTCAGCTATTCTGGAATCCGCTTGTCTCCAGTTCTTCGTCGTTTTTTCACATAATATTTCCCTTTCTGTTCGTTCTAACATGAATCCAGGCAGTGGAGGCTGGAGCTTGCTTTTGCAAAGCCATCTGCAGTGCTGCCTGAATGGTGCCAGGCTCACAGGGCTGGTGCTTTTAAAATAGAACCATGGCTGACCAGATTTGCCCCCCAACCAGAGGCCGTCATGCTCCAGTAACAGGTAAAACATCTACTGTAGGTCCACCCGCTGCACACTGCATGAACAGTGTTGGTGTTCTAGCACTGAAAAATAACGCTGAAGAGGAAAATACATTCAAAACACATGAAGCTAAAGACAAATAGGTTTTTTTGTCGTCGCAAAAGATGTTTAATTAGGTTGAAAACTTCAGTGAGAGCTGGATGACACAGAGGAGAGGAGGTGCAAGCTCAACACATGGTCTCCCTGGCCTTTTTGTTATGTGCGTCTCCTCCGTCAAACCTGCATCTTACGTAATCATCTGCTACTTTAATCTCTTCTTCTTTCACACAATTTCTGCTCTTTTTACACATCCTCTGCCCCC